AACGTTTACTAAGAAGCGATTGCTTGTTTTTGCAGCTTTTTGCAATTTTATTCAACGTGTTACCAACTGTGTTAAAGTTGTACACCTGTGTTCAGGATGACAATATATCTTTGAGGCAAACTGCATTCATTTATCTTTCAATATTACATGTAGCACTTTATGTTTAGCTCCAGCTTCTCACGTCACTACAACCTTATGCCGGTGCACTGCGGTAGGAAACAACAACGTGCGACTTTCCTCGGTGTTCCTGAACGCACCAGACGTCGAGCTCGAATGGGAAGTGTAGACGTGAATGAGGATCTCCTCAGTGTGTGTGTGTGTGTGTGACTGCAGACGGTGGAATAAACTGACCCGAGCTGGATTATTCATTATAAAGTGTTCATGTTTAATTTCTCTTTGGAAAGAGAGCCTTTCGTTGGGTTCTGTGATGGGTCCTCGTGTTGTCCTGCTCGCAGCTGTGCTGTCGTGTTGTTCAGGTATTTATGAAGAGTTCTTTAAATGCTGTGTTTGTGTTTAACGCTGTTACAGTCTGCAGTCTGTACGAGGAACACACTGTGAAGGTGCCACTATGCGCTCTGAGTGACTAACACCAACATGTCTCACTGTTTTCACTGTTTTCACTGTTTTCACTATTTTTACAAAATAATCAATCAATCGATTAATGGAGAAAATAATCAGCAGATTAACTCGTTATGAAAATGAACGTAAATTAATATTTAAAAATGAGCTCAACAGTAAAATCCTGCTTCTACATTGAGTACAAATGATCTAATAATTAAATATATAATAGTACAACAGTCACAGTTTGAATACTTTACCTACATTCTACTGACTACACTCGCATATGTTTTACTGAAGGAACATTTTACTGCAAAGAGTATTTTTACAGTGTGGTATTAGTATTTTTTACTGAAGTAAAGTACCAAAATACTTCTTCCAGAGGTTTGAACGAGTTTTCTCGTTAGTCTGAAAATGAGCCTTTCGGCCTCAACATGGAGTTGTGCTGAAATTCAGACGTTATATTTAAAGACATTTAGCCGAAGCACTTCCTTTATCTTGTTGAAAGGTCAGACTTCGTAAACTGAGATTGTATCACACTCTGATTTGAAATATGCAGTATTGGAACGTACCTTACATTCACTATAAGTGCTGTTCTTAAGTACAATGTTGAGGTACTTGTACTTAACTTCATTATTTCCATTTTATGCTACTTTATACTTCTGCTCCACTGCTCAGAAGGTGTATTTGCACAATTACAGGTCAAAAGAAAGAGATGATAACTACGGAGCCGCGGGGGTTAATATTCCAAGAAAAGATTAAAGTTGTAAATTTAGGAGAAATTGTGAGATTAAGTCATAAATTTACAAGAAGTTTGTACAAAAGAGACGTTTCTCCTCTAAACTTCTCAAATGGTTTGATTTCAAGTGAACTTTTCAGATACAATAAAATACGCTCAGATAAACTTTATTCAAGTTTATTTAATGTAACGTAGTTTCTTCCTCTTTCGTTTCCCTCCAATCGTCACTCGAGCCCTCAGATTCACGCGGTGACCCTTCGGAGGGGCCCGACCCCCCGGCTGGGAACCACTGGACTGAAATAACGTCATATGAAGTAGTTAGAACTACAACAGTAACTTTATAACATCTGGATGCAACAATCTCCGTTTTGTCATTTTTCTGCAGAGCGAGTACTTTTACTTCTGATACATGAAGTACATTTCACTAATACTTCTACTGAAGTACGATTTTTAAATCGCAGGACTTTTACTCCTAGTGGAGTATTCTTTGCACTGTTGTATTTGTACTTTTTAAGGATCCGAATACTTCTTGCAGGACTGTAAATTTAGGTTCTATGTGTATGAGAACATGTTCTCATTGATATTACAGACTTTGTATGACTTCCTGAAGCCAACATCCGCCGGCTCTCATGTGAATGTTGCACAAGGTTCTTGGTTTCCAGTTGGTCCAGATTCCTCTATCCAGTGCTGATCAACTGCTTGTATAGAACATTTCCAGCTGTTCTTTTCAGGAGTGTGGCCGCCTCCCTTTTATGATGATGATTATTGGCCAAATAAATGTGTGAGTCACTTCCGAGGTTTACGTTCTCACTTCCCCCCCGGTGCAGAGTTGCAGACTTGTTGACACTGGCGAGCGTGAATCACCTCTCACGGCGCTCTGACACTGCCGTCAGCCCGGTTCAGATCAGAGGAGGCGTGGGCGTCATGTCAGTTGAGAGAGGAGATGTGTTTTGAATAGATGGGTAGAGCTGTAAAGCTCCCAGGAGGCAACTTTTCTCAATCACCGCCCTAAATTGTATTCAGAAATTATTTATTTTATTGTTATTTATCATTTCAATAGTAATTATTACTAAATGTAGTGTGCAGCATGTAATTATTGATTGACGTAAGATACATTTCAAGTACATGGGTGTGCGTAAAGTGTTACTGTGATGAACCTTGAACTGGTCCTGAACCAGTCTCAGTGGAGTCCTGGTCCTCTATCAGACCTCCATCAGTAAAGAGACCATCAGAGAGAAGATGGTCTGTTTCTATAGAGTTATTCTTAACGCTCGTCATCGGAGCCACCGGGTCGGATTCTGGTGAAACCAGATGAACTCATGCAGGTTCACCAGAAACTCCTTCAGCTCAGACTCCAGCAGAGACCGGTCCACTGTGGACAGAGCCAGGTCCTCCAGCAGAGACCGGTCTACCGTGGACAGAGCCAGGTTCTCCAGCAGAGACCGGTCCACCGTGGACAGACCCAGGTCCTCCAGCAGAGACCGGTCCACCGTGGACAGACCCAGATCCTCCAGCAGAGACATTTTGTCTCTTTAGCGTAGCATTTTAGAGCATTTGAAAACCTTCGATAATAAAATACCTAATGTGTAAAGTATGTCTTGAAATGATTTATCTTTTTATAGGAGACTTGGTGCATGGACCCCCAGAGACGGTCCTGGCCTTGGCAGGCGGGGATGTCACTCTACCCTGCAACTTCAGCATCCCGGCCAGCGAGGACTTTCCGACAGTTGAGTGGTCCAAGGAAGGCCTGCAGCCGAACGTGGTGTTCCTGTACCGTGATGGCTGCGAGACGCCCGAGATGAAGAACCCGGCCTTTCGGTACAGGACAAGCCTCATCACGAAGGAACTGAAGAACGGAAACGTCTCGCTGAGGATCTCCAACGTGCAGCTGACTGATGCCGGGAAGTACCAGTGCATGAGGCTCTGGAAGGAGGACCCCTGGGACATTACAGTAGTGGAGCTTGTTGTGGGTACGTCCGGTCAGTTATTTACATACAGTAAAGGTTTTGTAGTTGCTTTTTAGTCTCCAAAAACCTATCACGGAGGAGGGTCCACCTAAGAGTGCTGCACAGGCCTCATGATTCCTTCAAGTCTGACTCCTCTGGTCTATGAGAAAATGACTCTACTTCTCTCTCGATTTATTACCTCAGTAAACATTGTAAACATGAGTTTATGGTCTCAATCTCTAGTTTCAAGTCTTCTTCAATACAGCATGATGTTCATTTAGTACATTATGGTCCATTTAGAGTCAAACAGACCATAAAGCAGGGGATGCTTTAGGGCGGGGCTACACAGTGATTGACAGGTCTCTACCAGAGACGTATAAGGCGTCTCTGCGTCACTCCTCCTCAGTCCAGATATGGTCACTTCCTGTTCACTGGTTGCCATAAACCCCAAGATAGCGATGGACAAATCACAGAACTCGAGGCCGATAACCTGGATTAAAGCAGGACATCGTCCGTCCTCTTCTTGGACACCAGGACAGCAACTAGAAGAAGCCGAGCCAAAGTGTGTACAAGCCATGCAGCCTCTTTTTAAAGAAGAATTTAAGAATGTAGGTGACAGTTGTCAGGGCGTAAAAACAATGATCTGTTGGCTTTTAAGACTCCACCGTCTTAACAAAATCCTGAATTGAGTCGAATCCTGACCTAAAGAAATCAGATTTGGAGGACTGTGACCCCGCTATCTATTAGCCGAATCAAACGACACTGACATGAGTGTGCTATGACATTTGACGAATTAAACAATCATCAAGTTGATTTTAAAAAAGCCACAGTTGCAGCTCTACATTAAACTGTCAAGGGCAAGACAAAAGCATTTGGGCGTGGTGTGCTACATTGGTATTTATTACCTCCGTTTCCACCACACGCCATGAGAGAAGCACTCTTTGAAGCTCTGCGTTTGCACTTCTATCTAATGTTGAGCTGATGATTTTATGTCCCACAGCGCGGTTAAAGAAAGGGCTTTAATCAGTGTTGTCCCTGTTAATAATTCACAAACGTCAGATGGAACATTCAATGGTGTCATGTTGTGGTAACTCCTGTTGTTAACAGGTGCCGTCTCAGAGCCTAAACTCTCCGTCACGGCAGCCGAGGGTGGAGGCGTGACCTTCCAGTGTGCGGCGGACTGCTGGCTGCCGGAGCCCGAGATCTACTTTCTGGACGAGCATGGAAACAAAATCGCCGCCGACGAACCGAAGAGAGATCGAGATGCCCGCGGATGTTTCTCCGTGACACGGAAAGCGACTCTCCAGGACGCCACCAACAGGTTTGTCGTGTTTTATTTGTGGCCCTCGTTTTGGCCCCCGTCTTAGAACTTTATCTCATACAGCAGAGCCAGAATGATCAAAGAGATATCCACACATCTGGACCCATGCAGTGTGCACCAAACATCAGCATTCAACTTTCACCTGGAAAGGTAGTTAGAAGTTAGAGAAAGTACACTGTCACACTCCAACCCTTGTATGCAACACACCTGTTCACACCCTGGAGGTAGAAGCTCCGCCTCCTGGAGAGTCAGTGCTGTAAGGTGTGCAAATGGAAGCCACACATTTCTGTCCTTGTGCTGCGTTTGAATGTGGCTTTGTGATACCTTATTGAAGTTATGATTTATAAACTGATGTGTTTTCATCACAGGGTCTCCTGCCGAGTTCACCAGCCGGAGATCAACCAGACCAGGGACGTGGAGATGATGCTGCCGGGTACGGCTGCAGCTTCATTAACCCTCTGAACCCCAGAAGCTGTCATTATCAGAATGTCATTGAACACATCATGTGTGACGAACGCTTCCGTCAGAAGAAAGCAACCAAAATTGTGATATTTCATCAAAAACATGTTCTTCTACATTTATAATCTCGCCCCGAATAAACCGTTTGCTTTAACCAGATTGTGTAGAAACATTAAACTGTGAGCTCCTCAGTGAAACTATGAAGTCATGATTGATTCATCTGAGACCAACAGTCATGTGACAACAAATCAGAGAAACTTAAACTGAACTGCTGCTGAACACAGAGCAGAGTTCACTATATATCACATTATAACTGTGTTAAACTGCACAAAAGACGTGTTTTAGTTACTCTACTTCTATCCATGGTTGTGATGTTTCCATAGAGGTGCAGCACTTTTATACTGCAGACAAACTAAAGACCACAGAGAGCAAAAACAAACGCCCCAAAACTGCTCTGGGTTCAGAGGAGTCTCACCAAACACTGAAATTCACAATTTAAATAGTTATATCACAGATTTAGCAGCGTATTTGTCTTTTGTTACATATTACATTTTTGCAATTAAACTGTCTTTTAATAAATGTACTTTTTAAAGATGTCATAGCAGTTATGTTCAGCATAATATACTGAGATTTCTCTCGCCAGGATTATTACATTGATGTTCATCCAACTCTTTCAAATGCATAAAAATCCATGAATGTACTTTAGGACGGAGTCTGCAATGACATAAAGAAACGTCAGTCACGTCATGGGGTTCATAATGTTTATGATGTGTCGGCTCTTTTCCTCATGTCAGCGTGTTTGTTGTCGTCTCAGGTGTTGGAAGGTGTTGGTGCTCTCTACTCGACTTCATCGCTGTCGTGAGCGTTTTACTTCTATGCAACGCTTCGTGTGCATTAGCCGTCTTTCTTTGGAAGAAGTGCAGAAAATCTGGTGAGTCATCAACACTAAGACAATGTTGTGTTTGGCTATTTAAAGAGAAGTGTTCTCAGTGTTCAAGGTGAGAAACATTGTTTTTCATGCACTCGTCAACTTTAACATTTTCTTCCGTAACTCGTCTTCTTCCAGACGAGTGCAAAGAAAACATTTATTTTATGATTTTATCTATTTACGTCTGTAGATTTCTCCTAAATTCACCAAAAGTTACCTTTACATAATGCCTCATCATTGCTCCTGTTCACCTGTAGAGTCTCTAAATGTCTGTAATGTAACTAAACGTCTCTTTAAAGGACGTTTCCTCTAAATGAGTTTGTTCTCAGACTCTGATCCAGAAATCTCCACTTCAGCAGCTCTTACATTCACCAAACTTCACACTTTCATTCCTAATATATAATAATATATACATAATGTAGATACTTTGAGGTGTGCATGATGTTAGTGATGTCACTTTCAACAGCAGCTGGTTAAAACCTTCTTTTAAAGCATTTCGAGCAAAGAACAGAGTTGATGTTCTCTAAACCTCTGGAAGGCTTTTACTGTGAAAGAGACGCAGGAAGTGTTTGGTTCTCTATTCATTGTATTTATTCTATTAAATAAATAAAATGACCAGAGTGAATCAGCCTCTAATGGACTCATTCTGTGCCTGTTTTAAAGGCTATTATTACAATTTAATTTTCTTTGCTTTTAAAATGAGATTGTGCAAAACCACATAGTTCCTGAGATCAGGGAACACGATGGCGTCACTACAACGCAAGTCAGACGATCAGATCGATTGTAAACGAGCCTCTTTTGGAGGTAAAACCACGATGGATGGTCATCATTGCGTTTTTAGGTGAAATGTGTGCAGTTGCACATCTCCAGTGGAATATTTGTGACGTTGGGATTTCTAGAGTTCGGAGGATAAAATGAATGCCAGCACAATAATTTAGAGATGTAAGAAACCAGAACTATCCTTCACTGAAAGATTAACGGTTAAGGCTTGGCCATAATTCAACTTGATAAATATTCAATGGAATGGTATATATATTGTTATCGAGATATGAAACTATATCGTGATAGAAGGTTTCGGGCATATGGTCAAGCCCCACTAATCTTTCTTCTTTCTTTCACACAGCGGAGTCGCCAAACTCGCCAACGTCTTCATATCAAAGTACAAGAAGCTGCTCCTGTGAAGATAAGTCGCTGCTGCAGAGTGTTCATGTTATCGGGACTGAAAACAGGAGAAACACCACCACAGAGATGCTGACGATGAAGGTGAGGGACCTCGAGTTAAAGCTGAAAGAGAAAGAAGATGCCATCCTCCAGCTACGGAGCAACAACGGAGCCCAGCTGATTGATGTTGTTTGCCTGAATGACGTGTTCCTCGACAGTCCTGCAGCCTCAACCAACAGCAGCCCTCCAACATCTGGCAACTTACCCCAGAACAAGAGGAAAAGGCCGGGCATCTTACGACAGATCAGTCATCCGGCACCCAGCTGCTCCATTAAAAAATTATGTCGTAGACACAGCAGCCCGGCTCATTTGAACTTTTCTGGTTCCAGTCCTTCGGAGAAAAGGCCCGGTCGTATCAACCGTTCCATGAGTGACCCTCGTGCTTTTGGGCTCTGTCCAAACCGACATTCCTCGGTGTTTCCATCTCCAGCGAGGTCTAATGGTCCCTTCACATACCTGGCAAATGTGACGGAAGAATCTGAGATGTTAATCGCACAATAAAACACAGAAGTCTCAGTCTTGGATTTCCCGAAACGTTAGGAAATTATAAACGTTTTTTAACAGCTCAGGTTGAAATCAATTAAATTTGCCCCAAAAATAACTTCATCAGCTTTTAAGCTAACATGACACATTTTAATTAGGGAGGCGGACTTTGACTGGACGGAGATGTTTTCCCCCATTTCCAGTCTTTATGCTAAGCTAAGCTAAGCTAACTGGGTGCTACATATTTATCATACAGAAAGATTTATATGAATCTTCTCATCTAATTCTTGACAAGAAAGAGAACAAGCGTATTCTCCACCCCCCCCACCCCCCCCCCCCCCCCCCCCCCCCCCCCCTTAATTTTTTCCTTTCAGCACTTTTGTATATATTTTTTCTTCTTCTCTCTCTCATTCTAATAGCTGATTCGTTGCTGTGCCGTCAGTCACACAGTAGGGGCGGGGCTATGATGTGTAGCACTATTTATTTCGGTCATGATTAGGCTCCTCTTGTTCACTACTTCTTCTGCAGATTTATAAAATACACTAACTAGGGACTAAAGGGCTCTTTTACATACAGTAAGGAACATTGCACGTTGTTTATTTAAAAACAAAACAAACAAGGTAACATTTTATAATCTATTTCAATCACTTTGTGGCTCAAACAAACAGGACTTTCACCCTGGAGATCGCTGTTCATGTCCCGTGTGAAGCCAAAAGTCAACGTCCTTTTCTTACGTACTTGGCTAACGCCGCCTACGTACGTTACGTAACACGTTAATTTAGTACGTAGTTTGTTTTTAACCCTAACCTCGATCTTTTCTTAAACCTTACGAAGTAATTTGAGTTGTTGTATCAGGATACGTTGCGATTGCTTTCAGGATTGATCCCCAGTTTTATTTATTTGTCGTTGTTTCACCAGCAGCAGTGCTCAATTCTTGTACATTTCTACAGCTAAAGCACGGAACCGTAATTTATTAAATGTATTGCATTTTGTAATGATTTATGAAAACATGTCTGGGGTTTGTATGTATGGGCTCCTTTATTTAATAATCAGAATGTATTGATAAAATATGTAAATAGGAGTTTTTTATGTCCACTACACTTTATTATGGAATAAATTACTTTTTGATTAATTTCAGTGCTCATTTTATTCACACATTACTAGTCTTAGGAATGAATTAATATACATTATGTTTTGTTGTATTTTAGTCGGCTTTAAAAACATTTGATGAGTTAAAATTAATTCTAAAATATGTTTTTTATTTTGTTGAGTTATATTACAATCAGTCAGTTTGGGGATTTATGGCTTTGCTTCAGTGTTGGTTTGATTTTATTACTCCGGGAAAGTTCACACTTATAGTCGAAATGGAGGAGAACTCCTCGGTTCTTTGTTATATTTTTATTATCAATGGAAACACATTGTATGTATGTAAGTCTTGTGTTTACAGAACCCAGTCAGTGAATGCAGGTTCTATGTTTTATGTTTCTTAATTAAACTGCGTAAATTCAAGGTTTTCCTTCGTGCAACTTTAGAGGAAGAGAACACTTTAAGGCATTGCACGCAGGCAGCTGCTGTGACGCCTAACGGAGAGACGAGGTGCGTGAGGGTCGACTTCTCTCTCAGAGGAAGTGCAGAGAGCCGTCAGTGTGCGCTCCGACAGGATGCTGTTGACACCTTTCTGTCTGGTGATGTGTGAGTACAAACTCTTCTTTTTACTGTAGAACATAATCTCTGCTGATGATTTAGTGCCTTTGAATTCATTGAATCACTGATTTGTGTATTTTCTCTGTTTACCTTGTTTCTTTCTTATTTGTTCTCTCAATCTGTCATTTTTGCTGCCCCCCTCGCTTTTATTTGTCATCATGCTGTTTTTCTTACATTTCCTATTTGTATTCCTTTTTTGCGTTTTTTTATTATTGTTTTCATATTTCTTTCTTCTTGTATACTTTTCATACTTCACCATTCTTGTCACACTTTTCTTCTTTTTGCGGTCTCTCTCTCTCTCTCTCTTCTTCCTGTTTTCTTTCTTACTGTTTTATTGTCCATTCTTTACTTTATTTCTTTTCACTTCCTGATTTTCAAATGAACTGCGATCATTCTTTTGTCACTTCTTGCTGTCCTGTCCTTTCCTTTTTCTTTCCCATTCCAACCCTCCAATCCTCCACTCTGCTGTTTCCCTCTTCCTCTTCTTTCTCCCTCTCTTCTTTCCTCCCTTCCTCAGCCTGTCTCCAGGTCGTCCCTGACCGGTCTCAGTTCTACAGGTACAACTCCATCTCTCTGAGCTGCGAGGATCAGCTGAACGCCACCGGCTGGAAGGTGAAGAGGAAAACAACGGAGGGCGGGGTCAGACCCTGCACCTCCGGCTGGGGCACCACCTCCTCGGGCTCGGCCTGCGTCATCGGAAACACCTACCCGTCCGACACCGGGGTGTACTGGTGTGAGTCTGGGGACGGGAACAGGAGCAACAGCATCAACATCACCATCACTGGTACTGCATTGGAAACAAGTGATGCTGTTTCATGTTGAACTGTATTCAACTTATCAGACTTTTCAACAGAATCCATGTCTGACTTGTTTTATGGATCACAATGTAAAGTTTAGTTTGCATCAGAAATGGGAAAAAAAGACTTTAAGATGAGTTTGTTCCTTGTCCACAGACAGCAGTGTGCTCCTGGAGAGTCCGGCCCTCCCCGTGTCGGAGGGAGCTGCTGTGACTCTGCGCTGCAAAGCCGAGACGGAATCCCCCAGTCACACGTTTGATTTCCTTAAAGACGGCCGCGTCGTCCGCAGCAGCGCCACGGGAGAGATGACCATTCACAGGGCTTCCAAATCGGATGAAGGACTCTACATTTGCAGCATCCCTGGATTTGGAAAATCGTTAGGCAGCTGGGTGAACGTTGAAAGTGAGATGAACGGTCTTCAGTTGACTGAGAAAAGGTCAAATACATGAATGTGTTGTGGCGATGTATAAAGGCCAGATACCAACTTAAAACAGTCCACTGGTTCCGACCGTAGCTTACATTACATTACAAGCGTACTTATTTAAAGCCAAACCATAATGTTTTATTTCTCACCCTAACGAAGTAGTTTAATAGCCTAAAACTAACCGCCACTGTTTCACAACGTTAAAGGTGCAATGTGTAAAATCTGGACAGAGATGAATTAACATTATCAAAACAAAGTGAAGAAGAAATAGTTTTGACGTTATGCCAAATACGTCAGTGCATTGTGCTGTAGAGATATTAACTGCCAACCAGCTGGTCTTGTAAAACCAATTGTACCCCTAAAGGTGATGTTGAGTCACTGTACCGTCCGGTCTGTCCGTAGTCCAACATAAGAGGGTTTGTCAATGACACATATATGGTCCATGAGCATTTTGATAGTTTGTTTATTGGATTAAATTAAAAGTGGGAGGAACAAGAAAACTAATTGCACACTCTGATGTCCTCGCCGCCGGGACTAAACTAACTAAATATGTAACGTAATGTAAACTGTAGACCGATGCCAGACGTGAAGATTTTAAGATATCAGTGTCATTTTGACCGGCTCAGAGTTTCAGCAGGTTAGTTGAATTGTGCATATTCTTGCCCTGCTGTTAGTTAGTTTGGCTTTTTTTTAAATAACCGATGACTGTAAGTTTAGATTGTATGGACTCATTAGTAGAGGTGAAATACTGCCCACTACTTATTTGAAGCAGGTGAATAGATTGGTCTATACAATACACGCTCACGTGACTAAACATGCAGTAAAAGTCACACACGGTGGCAAAATTCGACAAATACGGATAAGATCACGTTAGTTAGATACGTAGATTTCACATTAAGACATCAATGAGGCAAAGTCATAATTTAAATACAACATTTAGATAACAAGGACGTTAAATATGAAAGAGAAAATCACTGAGTTTCTGTCTTTGACTTATTGGTTCAGTTTTTCTTCACATTGTCTGTGACCACAGTGGGTAAGAGTTCACTTATCTTCACAGGTTCTCTTCCACCTTCATCCTCACCTCCACCTGCAGCTTCCCGTTCAGTGTCGGTCACCAGACTGATGCTCCACGTGTTGGTGGGAACCCCTTACCTGCTGTGCACCATCTTACTGGCACTCATATACAGAGACAGGAACAGAGGTGAGAACACTCCTGCAAGTGTCCAGGGAGGTATTCTAGCGTATACTTGCTAATGTTAGTGAATCAGCTCAATCTATAACTATGAAACAGCACTGGTAGCTAGCTGTGCTATCAGTTAGCTTCTTTGGTTCCTGAAAACCTTTTGCTTTTGTTCATTACAAAAGATTTCAGAGTAAAACTTTGATAAAAATAAACTCAGGAAATACAATCAGCTGAAAACACTCCAGTGTCATCTGCATAACTGATGATTAATAACCAATAGTCTATGTGAAGTTTTAAATACCATATGATGCTACATAAACATGCAAGCTGTAATTCAACTGTGACTCACTGCATTCTGTCGTATTGAAACAAACATTCCACAAAACATGCCAAAGATATTCTAAGCGAACTTCCTGTTCTTCAAGCGACACGAGCCAAATAATCAGACTACAAAGCCACTTAGTTTCACTTCATATTTTAGCCCAATGACACAGGTCTGGTACATTGTGGACGTCCAATCAGGTGTTGAAGGTAAATGTTGCTGCAAAGCTGTCAGAGCTACGTTACCACAGAGCCCACACTGTCACTAACTGCACTCTGAAGAAATATTATTACATTTCTGAAAAAAACACATGTTAAGTTCTGTTTTTGCGACCTGCTACCCAGAGAAGTCCACGCTTAAATAACCTTTCTTCTTGACTTTAATGACGTCACTGTCACGTTAAATAGCGACGCTGGGTGCAGGAAGAACAACAGACGTTGCAGCTGCAAACTCAGTTTTCTGGGTCACTAAAGCACGCACTGACGAATGTATTGCTTCTATGGACAAAATCTAGCATCAACACTGACTGGACATCCACATAAAAGGTGGCAAATGTTCCATTTAATCTGAGTAAAGATTTAAGGAGATTAGCATCAATGAAGACATTAATCTGATTTATTATTCTCATCAATAAATTGGTCTCTTTCTGCAGCTCGGACGGTAGCGGAGAGAAGAGGCAGCAACAATGTCATCATGGAAATAGTTGTGTAGACCTTCAGACTGGTAAAGGTGGTCCCTGTATTCTGCATTTTATGGGACTTGGCACCACTTGATGTGCTGGAGATCCATTGATCTGACCAGCAGCAGTTGTATTATCCGACTATAAATGACGTTCATGTGTTTATCTTTCTTTAAAGCTGAAGACGTGAGACTTGTTTGGATTTAAATGTCAATAGATGTTCACTGCGATTTAAAGGAAGTGGAGGGTTTATGTGGTTTACACCATGCAAACACAATAAGGTGGGAAGTTTAAGTCCAGTTGTTTGTTTTGCATTTTTCCATTTGACATTTCTTATCCGTCCAGAATTTACTCAAAACTTGACTCCAAATTTTGTAAATCTTTCACAAATCTTAATCCATAAATCTTCCTTTTTATTGTTTAATTATTTTTCTTACATTTGTATCCTGCTGTAATATAAATGTTACTTTGAATTAAAAACAGGAAAAGACATTTTAGCACTTATTGTGAGTGGCTTGCCTGCACAGGTCAGTTGTGGTAAGATTGTTCTGAAACTAGGTCGGTGTTATTTCTAAGAAGTGGAAAGTTTGTACCATTTTAAAACCCACCCACACGCCATCAGTAATGAAAACATTAAAACTGACAATGTTGTAAAAATGACTTAAAATAATTTTATTTGATTGTTGTTAGTACACTGTAAACAGGTGAATACATATGAGTGTGTGTTTTGGCACATTTGATTTAATGAAATAACGAATACGTTTTTTCCGAGAATGGAAACTCTTGTGGTTAAGTGGAGTTGCTCTCTGTTGTGTTCTGCGGTTAAAACACACAATAAACTGTCTTGAAAGTTAAAGAGTGTCTCTAACTTTCCTGGTGCATAATGTTGTGTTAATACAATGCAGTGCTGTGTATAATTGGACACGATGGCCTCTTGTTGGAACAGTGGAAAGTGGTTAAATGGATTTGTCATCATTATTTAATAAAGGTGAAAATAGTGTGCTCAATAATAGCGACAGAAACACACAGATTCTTAGTTTCAGGTGATTATACACTTATAAAACATAGTTATGAATAGTAATCCCCCTACACACTGTTCCTTTAAGAAATACAAACAACTTTTCATTTACAAAGGTAACAAGAAAATGTTAAAGTTCAAATATTTAATTCAGTACATACATCATACATATAGGTGATGTACAAAATGGGACTTCCCTCTTTTCATGCTCGCAAACATAGTTAACAAAATTAAGGTTTGGCCCTGAAAAGAGAGAGATCTTTATTTCTTGTTAAGTTCCGTTTACAGTTGATCAAAAGCTACAACAAAATGAAATTATTCAAAAAAAACAAAATTTAAATACTAAAGAAAACAGGAATAAGTTGAGAACCAGAGCATTGTCTCTGACTGAAACCAGAATGTCTTTCAGATTCCAAATGTTCACAGAGTTCAGTGTTCTTTGTCAGTCTGTGTCCATTAGTCCACAGGGGGTTTATACCGGGACCACCAACAGCCCCTTGGGGAGGATCCCCTGCCAAACAGATAGTATACAGTGTCTTGTCTCTGTCTCTGTAAGACAGACTGGTGGAACGCTGTCAGACCTGTTAGAACCACTGACTGGGGCTGAAGTAGGAACAGGTGTTTGTCACATCCTCAGCAGCACACAGGCAGTATCAGTCCATGGCAGGCCGAAGCTGTACAGCAGTCTCTGAGCTGTCTGAAGGCTGTGATGGGTGATGCGATGTCCACCAGGCCCTGCCCTCCCTCCTGGACCGGCAGGTACAGCACCGCAGATCTCAGCCAGTGAGGCGCTGACCAGAAGAAGTCCACAGCTGCCCTCTGGATGTCCTTAATCAGGCCCTGTGGTGGAGGCAGGACTACCAGTCTGTGCCAAAGGGTCGAGGCAACCAAGGCATTGACAGTAAGGACCCTCCCCCTGTAGGAGAGCTGAGGTAGCAGCCATTCCCGTCCAATAGACCTTCCTGTCACCTCATCAACATTTAAAAAAAAAAAAAAAAACCTCACCTTGTGCACTGAGAAAAGAAACAGAGCGGTGATGTAGACAGTGAACCAATAACAGAAAAAATAAGTGAATCACATCCATCGTAGACTCACTTAGAGGTTTTTAACCTTTTTGCACCTTTCCCTTCATCTCTCTTCATTAGCTTCCTGAGATTCGTCACGTGCTTCTTTAGACGGAAACGTTTCTTTCCATCTAGTGACTCCATACCGACCGCTTTCGGTATTTCTGTAGCACTGTGAATAAACTTTTCTGCGTCTGGAAAATAGTCTAAAACATCTACAGATTTTCCAAATGTTTCATCCAGGAACTTATTAATGTCCTTTAACTTGTACAGATCTCCAGTTAATAACATTGAGTAGTCATCACTGAGACCTTCAGAGTCATACTCCATCTCCTCCTCCACAACACAAGCCCCCCCCACTCTCCTCTGGACCAGCAGCCTGACTTTGGTCAGCTTCAGCTGTCGGCCCTTTACTGCTGCCTCCTCCACTTTCCCTCATACCTTCCTCTGCTCCTGCTGTCAGTGCTTCCTCTACTTCTTTCCTTTCCTCTACTTCTTTCCTTTCCTCTGTTGTGAGACTCAGAACAGCTGAGTCCTCATCAATACCTTTATCTCCGCCTAAACCAGCTCTCTGTTCCCCGTCCTGAGTGTCTGTCTGCCTGCTATGCCCCTCCTCGGCCGGCGGTTCGTCGCCCCCCCTCGGGGTGCCTTTCGGCCGGCCTGTGAGGACAAGCGGTCCGCTTGTGCCCCACTTCCCCGCACTCAAAGCACCTGATGCTACCTGTGCGAGCGTACACCATGTAGTGCCCCTCCCCGTGCTTCTCCCTAAATGAGACCTCCAGCGTCTGTGAAGGACAGGTAAGGAACATGAACACCTGTCTCCTGAAGGACTGGACATGCTTCAGTTTATCACTCTTAGAGATTTTATCATCACATATCATTTGTTCATAGTCCACCATTACCTTTTCTTTATCTGACTTGTCTCTCCTGATTGAACTCACATAGGCGACATTATCAATATGTTTCCATAACTTTATTCAAGAAGCAGTTGCATTTGTTTAGCCGCTTGTTCCCTCTTTGTCCGAGACTTGAGCAAGTTCATTTCCTGTTGTTGCTCCTTCACGTGTTAAACCGCCGTATCTTACAAAACACTGGGTGGCTTTTAATTATGAAGCCGCAGCAGGAAATGATCTGCATTGCCAACATGCAGACTCTGGATCCCTGCTACCCTCACTGTGCAGTGCAGGTTTGTAAAAGTATTTATTTATTTCAACCAATGACAACAACTGATTCGACCTCGGACATTTTGTTTTTTTTATTTATTTAAAAGAAGTGTTTGGCCAGCGCTTAATTCTCAGCATTGCAAAATCAACTGATAACTGCTGTGTAGTCCCAACAGCCACAGTGTGTGATTTAGTTTCGTTTCCCACAAAGAAGCCACGCCTTTACAGATGCATAAATACTGGAAACAGAAAGTAAACAGTACAACTGTTGAACTTCATCTTGAAACACATCAAGGTAAGTTTGTCTTGCTCAAGTTAACTTTAAAGCTATATGTCATCACTGAATACATATTAGTTCATACCATGCGCAGTAATTAGTTTAATTTGGAATATTCTGCTTTTTGTGTGTGTGTGTTTTGTTGTTGTTTTAGATGGATGCAATATTGAACTTACTGACGCAGCACAGACTGGAATCTTTCTACATGAAATTCCAAGAGATGGGTGTGAAAGATGAGAGAGATTTCATTGATGGTGTAACAGAAGAAGACTTGAAAAAAATCGGTAAGTGTACAGTATGAAAGCAGTTACAAGTAGTTTCTGGGAACGATTCTCGATTGAACTTAACAGGCACAGCCGAAAGGTTTTCACATGATTACACAAGTTGTTATCTAATGTGAATGACATGAACTTTGGTCTTGAAGTCTAAATAACAGAGCGCCATGTACTGCAGGAAGAAAGAGAAGGACTTAGCAAGTACTAATGTGCAACAAAAGACTAAGCATAAGGAAAAACGTTTTTCAGGAAACAGGAAACTGTGATGATCTAATCTGAGGACGTAACCACAAATGAAGTATCTTAAGGCTACTCATACACTCATCATATATGTGCAATATGTACTTCCTTTGTAAATAATTGAATTTAAATAATTTGTTTGACACTATCAGAGATATTTCAAGTAATGGTCCAAATAGAAAACAAGTCAACAAGAGTTAAATTTCCACAAATGGATATTATGAATTCAGTTTAAGAGAAGAGTAGTTTCCCGTGTTAAAATGTTGAATTGTAAAAAGCATTCATATTTCCTAAACAGGATTAAGTCAAGTGGAAAGGAACCGTTTTTCTACGCTGAAAAAAACCATTGGCAGACTCAGAGCTCCGGCAGCTGCAACGTCTGTGAAGAAGTCATTGGAGTCATTCTGTCTGCAGTACACATACCCCAAATGCCCTGAACCAAAATGCATCAAAGGTAAGAAATTCACATAGTTTACTATTTTATTTTCATGAAGCTCTTTACAGACCTTATAGGTTGTAGAGGACAAATATTGAAAGGGCCTTGACTCGTGTTGGCCCTGACTTCCTCGAAAGGGAGTGCTCAGCCTTGGTAGGTAGGATGGGGAATGGATTGAGGCATATCTGAGAAGACGGAAGGTGACACAGTGAGGCCATCATGAGGGCAGCTGTGGAATTACAGGACCAGGTGAACAAACTAATACACAGCTGCTGCTGCAGGGAAAAGGAACAATGGGAGGGGTGTTAAAAAATTCCCACCGAATGTTTAAACATCTTTGGTTTCAGTCATTGACTCAAAAGGCTGAGCATTTTATTTAGGCACCATCTTTCAGATTCTCTAGACATATAGACAGTAAAATCTGAATGGGATGGATTGCCATAAAAATTTGGTTCACACATTCATGTCCCCTTTGGGATGAATTGTGATAATTTTCGTTATCTCATATCTTTTTCATGCATTTCCATCATCATAAAAAGAATATTATTTGTGTCAAATACTGATTTATGAACAAATACCTGTAAAAGTAATGACAGCCCCAGCATCAGCTGTGCTGTGTGTAAATGGATAATTAGCATGCTAACATGCTAAACCATGAGTGGTAAGCATAGCACCTCATTCTGAGCATGTTAGCGTGCTGATGTTAGCTGACAGAGCCGCTAGTATGACACTAAGCCCTTTACACACGTATTTTCCGTATCGATAAAAAATGTTACATTACTACATTACTTCCATGACGGATGAAAGTTTCGGAGTGTTTAAACTTGACTGACACAGTGTGAGGTTGTATTTATAAAAAATAAGCACTTGCTGTTGAAAGGCCTTCATCATCTCTCTGTCATCAAGGGTTAGTGCCAAATTTAGCTGTCGTCACTTTCAGTGTCACCTTGGATACCTGGCAGGAAATCAATGTGATCTATGTATATCATTAATTATTCTGTGAATTTATTACGCCCACCGGCCGTTTTATACTTTAACCAGGGTCATTTTGTATTTTCAGATATGGATCCTGCACAAAACACAGTTGAAGATCTGATGTTGAGGATTTGTCACCTTGAAAGTGTTAATCCATCCAAAGGGGTCTGTCTCTACACAGTGGATGGAATGCCTTTGACGGATGATCCCTTCTTCAACACATGTAAGCTCACTCAGTGCTGGAGTCTAAAGTACATAACAACAGGACAGTATTCAGTGTGATTATACATTACGGTTTAGGGCTTTTGAGAGGTTATGAGGCCTTCATGCAAATAATATATATTTGACTTTTCATTGTTTTGGTACATTTTGTGTTTAGAATTAAGTGTTAAGCTGTATATTGGTACATGAAGAATTATTTACACTTTATAAATACAATGTTGAAATATGCCTTTTTTATTGTTAAACCACAATATGTAGAATTTGATCAAAGAGAAGCAGTGGCCCTCTGTACCCCACAGATCAGCCTTTGGTATAAAAGCGACTTGTAGACTGCAGCAAGATTGTTAAAACAATAATGTATGCCATCTCTATAATCAACCTCCAGCTCAGCAAGCTTTTTTCTGTATTGCCACATAATATGTAAAGTGATTATTTTGATTTTATTCACCTACAGGGTCTTTAAAAGATAGACACATTGAAAATGGAGATGTAATCTACGCCATATTCACACCAAAAAAGAACCTGAGAGCAGCTCCTCAAATGTCCACGCGACGTGTTACTGAAAGTAACGGAACTGATACAGTTCGATGCCACGTCATGCTGAAGGTGAGTTTATGTATGCTTTGGGGAACTAAGGACCTATGGAGTTTAAGACCCAGGGAATTTACGAATTTAGGACCCTGAGAACTTATTTCTTTACTTATATATACAATTTTGTTTTATGTTTTTACGATGACAATAAACATCCTTATCCTTAGCAGCCTGGGAACCTATGAATTAATCTTTGATACAATTTTGACTTAATTTTGGCTGAATTTCCAATCATTTTCTCTCCCTTTTCTAATATTTGGTGCAGGGGGACTTTGAGGTGACGGTGGATTTGGAAAGTGACACGATAGCTAATTTGAAGAGAAAGCTTGCCAATGAAAGTGGAATCCCAGGAAATGTTCTTCATTACAAGTAATTCTCCGATACTATTATAGTTCTTGGATAGTATGGCTTTTGATAATTGCTGATACTGATTCTGATGTGCTTATCAGGCCTAATCTGTCCAGAGATGAACACGGCAGTGCCAACACATTGGAAAATTGTGGAATCTCAGAGGGGTCAACAGTGTACTTCTCACTGTCCACGTTTCCTGAGGATGTTCTAAACCACAGAGAGTTCTTCATAGACGATGTTGAGCCCTCAGTACAACAAACCCCGAAAGGGTTAAGTGTCTTCTTGTCTTCCCTTTATATCATGGTAAGCAGAGCTTCATATATTGTTAGAAGTCTGATGAATCTATTATTTTTTCTTCGACAGCATTAATGAACCCTTCACATATTTGTATTTTGCTCTTTCTAATCATGCCTAACCTCTCAGCAGAGTCTCGTGTGTTTTCTTTAATTATTTGGAAGCCAGTTTTTCATTGCTAGTTATCTTTGCGCAGGAGGAATACTAAATGTGCTGCTTCATACTACGAGTTAGATGAGAGGGTCCATCTGAATTTAGATTTGAAGACATTGGTCCAACATGTGTTTAGCAGCAGAAAACTAACCCCTTTAAAGTAAAGAAAATAGTAATAAAAACAATGAATGAGAATAAAGTGTTCAGGTATTACCAGGTACAGGAGTGGGTAAACTGACCAGGATCTTTATGAGTGTATGTACAGCTTTACATAAAATGTTTCAAAAAGAACTGTCAATATTGTTTAACTCTTTCCCTTCAGTATTAAAAACAAACAAGTGCAAAATGTAGTTTGTTGTTGTGTTAACATTCTCTACTCTAGAAATACAAGAGTCATGGAGTTCGATTCAAGGATTTGATTGGATACATACGAAAACTGACTGGATGCCACCCACTGGCCCAAAGTTTGCACCAGCTATTCTGTAGGAATGAGATCATATCCAGGAATCAGAGGGTTAAGTATACTACCTATTAGATGGTGTAATATTCCTTTTATTACCTTTTGCATTGACCTTTTTGAAGTGAGCGCTAATGATATGCAATATGTATCGTCATATTTTTATTTTTATTTAAGTTAAAGCATCATTCATTTGGTTTCACTATTTGCCTTATAAAGCATGTTATTTTCCTCCTCAGGTAACAATATGTTTTCTTCTTTTCCGTAGATCGCAGTGGTTGAAGGCTTGTACGTGCTCTTTAGAGAACTTTTACCACAGCTTGAAACAAAACATGGAGACAAGATCATTGAGGACCTTGATGTCTTTGAGTACTCAACATACTGCTGGGCATATCTCCTGTCAGAAGCAACGGTATTTTTGGTTGTCTGTCTGTCCCATTCCCATAAACATGATATCTCAGGAACGCCTAGAGCGAAATTTCTTCAGATTTGGCACAAATGTCCACCTGGACTCGAGGATGAACTCATTAGAATTTGATGGTCAAAGAACTCAAGAATTCATATTCTAATTATGACAATTTCACACAAATGTCTTATTGTATAAAATTCTGAAGTGATAATATTTTGGACAGACATGGTTGTAAACTGCAACTTGACTGGTTGGCGAGGCATAGAACTGCAAGGCAGTGATTGTAGTTAACTATGGGTTTTTTTTAAAGTACAAACTCAATACCCCATGATTCATAGAGCAGTTGTGTGTCAACAAGAGTCTGTGGGGGCAAGGACAACCCTAGCACCCCTCTAGATCTGGACCCACCTCAACTCTGCAATGGTCCATCATTGAAATGAAGGTTAGGCTTGTAAGTAAGCTCACTGCAATCTAGGCTATATGGTGAGGGTAAGTATTTCTAAAAACAAGACAAGACGGCAAGAACTAGCTGTTTAGCATGCTCATTTCAGTAGATATCTCTGCAACACAACACATAACGTCAACAGTGTAACCTCTTCATATTCTGTTGGTAATGCTAATTCTTGTTTTTAATGTTCTAAACTAAAGCTCTGGCCAGATCGCACATTGCACCTACTGCTTTGGGAAAGGAGGATAGAAGTTTAAGGTTGTTTGTAGAGAACGCTCCAAAAAGATTGATCGCTATCAGATAAAAAGAGTCCTGTTTTGTTGCATTGCCTTTGAAATACATTAATCTGGGGTTTTCATGGATGTTGTCATTGACTAGAAATGATTTGCTGCAAATGACTTGCATTACCCACCTCTCTAATTGCTTGTATTATTTTAACAGAAAGAGACATCAGAACATGAGAACTACGCACCTTTTTCTCTGACGTCCGAAGAAGGCAGCCGTTTCTGTGATCCAGTCACTGTAACTGGAATACCAGGTGTCTTTGAAAGAGCAGTTGTACGTCAGAAAATCAAAGGTAAAAGTAAAATGTCTTATATCCTTACATGTGTAAACCTTCCAACACAATTTGCAAAATATTGATGTATCATGGGTGTTATTCAGGTTATTGTTTTTGTAGTTTTTACCATTGCAAAACATTTTAGTCACCAACTTAACTGCTGAGATTGATGGATCCAGTGTCATTACTGTGGCACAGCCCAGTATGCCAAGTAACCCAGTCAGTCAGATAGCCAAGATGGTTCAAAGCGCAGCACCAGTTTATCTAAACCCCTAATTTGGAAGAGATAACATTATCATCCGAAATATACATTGTAAATGTTTTGCCGAGCTCAAGCTTTAATATTGCAAGTAGTGTAAATGTGTCCGCATCAATGCATTAAATTAATATATATACAAAGGTACCTTAGAAAATTCATAGGTGGGCCAAAAAATGCTTGTCGAAATTGCTTATCTATGGATAATAGTTCAAGACGCTAAACTAAAAAGATTGTGATTGAAGGTACATCTAAGTGTCTACTCCCTCACAACCTCACAAATGTTACATCCTGCTAGCTTACCTCCAAGGTATAGTGTAGTCGCTTAAGAGTAGATGGTTCTCTTCTAAATACAGCTGTTGTTGTTGCTAGAAATATGCAAACATATTTTGGCCTCTAAATACGCTGCAAATCAATCTTTTCCAAAGGGACGGTAATTTGTGGTTCAGATGACAACCAAAGCTTCCATCAGCCTCCAGACAAATTAATATTTACCTTCAGCTGCATGCAGAAATCTCAGGATATGTTTGGTTAGTCAGGAACAATTTCCTATTCTGAGACTTGATATTGCTATTTTGTGGTGAAAGGCTTTTTTCTTCTCACTCGTGTTCTTGGTCAGGAGGTGATTATGTGTGATTATATTTTGACTTTCTCTTGTCCTTTGTTAAGATGGCGAGAAGATTCCAAACTGCCCTGAAGAGGTTTTGAGAGAAACATCACTAAACAGAGCCACTGACATTGAGAAGATTTTGCTCAGCGTTCATCCATCAATGAAAACATATGATCTCTGGATTTCTCATGACAGTGTGACTGGGCAGAAGTATGTTTTATCAAATATCATGTTAATGAAAGATGCCACAAAAGATGATACAATAAGCATACACATATTTGTGTACAAACTACTATTACTATTTCAGTAGTGCAGTGGATTTCAATTCTGCCATGAAATATTATATTATATTATATTATACAATAAAATTAAGATGAATCCTTGCTACCTAAACCAAGTGTCCACAGAGAAGTCTTGAACCAGAATTTCAGAATTTTAAACTGGTTTTACAACAAATTACTACATTACCCATTACCCATCATCCTAACATTGGTTCAATTTTGACAAGTTATGCTTGGATCATTGGACCACGCCCATGAAGGCTCATGTGGGGCAGCGCAACCCACAACAACTCTGATTCACAATCAGTTTTTTGGGGGTTGTGGGAAGACCCATGAATTGGGAGCCTGCTTTCAACAATCCTTAAAGAACTGTTTCTTAATGGAACCCATAGTCAAATAACTTCTAGGGAACACTCTTTTCAAAATAGGGTTCTTCAGAAGAAAATGGTTCTGGGTAGAACCTCAGCACTTCAGGAAGAACCCCTTTGGAACCCTTATTTCTAAGGCTTATAAACATACAAGTCCAATGAGGATATTTATATTTAAAATAACGTGATTTCACATGCTCAAACATTGCTGTATTCCTTGTGTGTTAAGTTGATCTAGTTCTCACAGCATTCATCTCATATAGCCTATATAATTGAATTGCAGCTTTCACGTCAATACTCAGAAGAGTTTTGGAGACATGGCAGAAGAACTGAAAGCTTTCCCTCAACTCAGTGTGTCTCCACCGCTGCGTTTGAAGGACCTCGGTATTGATGACCTACAACTAGTTTTCCTGAGTGAAGGTACCTGACAAGACAACAGTGCACATTATATTAATATTTGCATTTACTGGTGTTAGTTATAACTAATAATATTGAGGCACCTGAGTGTCTGAGCGTAATAAATGGAATGTACTGCAGTAGATATCTAATATAGGTAGGTCCATGACCATGCAGAGCTCTATAAGTGATCACAAAAACCTTGAATTGGATTCTGAATTGGATCAGACGCAGCCAGTAAAGACAAATCAAGAAGTCACGTTAGACCTTTTGGAGGATTTGATAAAAAGCTCTCTGGCTTTCTGGACCTCTTAACGATCCAGGGATGGTTTGCTGAGGCAAGTGAAGAGGGAGTAGATACAGTTTAACTATAACTTACATCTCTGCTTGAGACACATTGGCCTAGCCATGAGACTTGCAATGTTTCTCAGCTGGAAAATAGAGGAACCATTCATACCCTTGACATGTTGGTCAGCTTCAGAATTCTCCATGCTTCTTCCTGCTGTTCTGTAACAATTATTTTTTGTTTTTTTGCAGACAACCTTGGTGTCTATTTGGGTAAAGATAAGGCAGCTCCTGCAAAGATCCAGGTTTATGATTGTCTGGCTGGCAAAACCCAAAATGTGGATGTGGATGTGTTGGCAGCTAGGTGAGTACTTTGGGGTTTTTTTATATTCTAGACAACATTATAGTTGAAATGAAGATGTAATTTGTTTTACTACAATACTGTGGCTTTGAATGTGGCTGCCTTTCTCTTCTCTCGTCAAATTGGCAATAAAGCAGCATATTTCAATCCTCATAAAAGTCTGACGGTTACCTAAAAATATATAACCCGTTCTCATTCCCAGCTTGTCACATGCTTGTTGGTGACACTTTTTAACATACTGGGTAGCCCAGTGCGTCCAAACTATCATGCTCGCTGGAAACAGGTGGTTAACGTTGTGAGTTTAAACAAAAACACTTGCTTGGGTTTATGCAACAGAACCTTTGAGCTAAGTTTAGGAAAAACACCATGTTTGGGCTTAAAATAAGTAAGTCAACTCCGTAAAATGTAAACCGTCTAAGAAAAGCCCGGAAATCCCGTCACAAACATCAAAGTGACACCGGTCATTAACAATAGTCTCCTGGTTGAAAGTCATCACACTCTCGGAGCATTTTCTCTGAGCGTCTGTTAATGATGCGGATGGGTTTACATTGTAGTTGACAGCCTGTTGCATCTCATGCAGACCCTAAAGGGTGCATTGTGCATCGGTATCAGACACAGAGGGGCGTGAAAAAGTGTCGGGATTTGACACACTGGGAATGAGAACGGGCTGATAAATAAGGACAAAACGACCAGAGGCAGAGTTTGGGGGGGGGGGGGGGGGGGGGGGGGGCAAACATTATTTATCTGACGTCGGTGACTTGTCCAACTATTGCATGGTGTATTACATATTTAGCCTACATACAGTAACAGAAGACAATAGTGCTAGCTTGCCATAAAGACAAACATAGACCATCAAATTAGTTTCTTACCACTATGTACTATATCACACATAGGCTTACGGAGGGGTTTTGTCTTTCACACATGAGGGCACCAAAGTTGAAGTCTATTAAAAGTTAAGTATCTATAATACTAATAACAACAATGTGATTTTTTTTTTTGAAACCAAACACAATAGAATCAAATTCTATTATTCTATTATGGCATAATTCCATTTTGCCCCGCAATAGAATAAGATATATTTATTGAATAGAACAGAATAGATTTTATACATGGAGTGACAAATTTCAGCCGTTAAATATCCATCCATCCATCTTCCTCCGCTTATCCGGGGTCGGGTCGCGGTGGCAGCAGGCCAAGCAGCCTGACCCAGACCTCCCTCTCACCGGCAACATGTTCCAGCTCATTCTGGGGGATCCCGAGGCGTACCCAGGCCAGCTGGGAGATGTAATCCCTCCAGCGTGTTCTGGGTCTTCCCCGGGGTCTCTTCCCAGTTAAATATGCAAAAGAGATATAACAGCGATGCATAGTATGGACCATATATTAAGAATGGTCAGAATTATCGGAATATTTTTCATAATGTTCTTAACTTTTCCTGCAGAACTGGTGACCATAGGGAGGACTATTCATTCGTCACAACCAGGACTCCAAAAGAGGCTATACTGGTAATGTTGACCGTCTACTATGTCAAATCTTTTTATGAGTAACTACACCCTAACAATCTGGCTCAATGTGGCTCAAAAAGCAGGAGTTATTTCGGAGATGTTTGTGTGTACAAGAAGAACTGTACGAAGTCAAGTCATCTGGATCCTCTCTAATCTTTTACACGGAGTGGCATTTTGAGCAGATCTGTGCGTTGGAGCCTGCATACCATGCATCAACAGATGTTAAGTCAGTAGCCCTGCAGCTCTAAACTGTGGCTAAAGCTAATTTAGCCTGTGACCTCGACACTGGCAGAGAGACACCCTCTAACATGCATGAGAGATTCCTTTCTCGTCTGTTGAAGTCTGTTCACCATCCCTTAGTATAGGCTTCAAGCTGAGCTTCATTTCTGGATGAGAAAGTAAACAAAATAAACAACTTATTAATTTTTTGACTTTATTTTCATCAGGTGCTGATCGATACAAGCTCATCCATGGTGGAGAAGTGCTATGGAGGTGTGGAAATACAGAAGATCCATGCTGTTAAAGAGCTTTTTGACAACTTTGCAACACGGACCATGGCTTATGATTTTCATCATGTAATTGGCCTTGTGAAGTTTCACTCTACAGTGGAAACTCTCCACACATTTACGGAAACACTCGAAAAGTTCAAGGTATATCAATACATAACACATTACAAACCCTGATAAAGATTTGGTGTACCAGATCATTTTTTAGTTAAAGTATGTCAAGTTATCGATTTTATCATGGGCTCCTGACCCATGAAACAATAAGCTAATGAAGCTAAATAGACAGTTTTCTTTTTTACTTTTCTAGGAACACGTGCATGCCCTTCGGGCCAATGGACAAACTAAACTTTATGATGCCCTACAACATGGAATGCTTGAGTTGGAAAAAGTCAAGAAGTTTCCAGACTGCAAACTTCGCATTCTCTGTCTCACAGATGGAAACGACGTTGGGTAATTTTCCTTCTCTATGATACCTTCGTATGATACAATTGCTAATTTGACGTAGTTACGTGACTATAATGCAGAGGTGGGACGAAGTCATTGTTTTCTAAGTCACAAATAAGTCTCAAGTCTTTGGAATTAAGTCTCAATTCAAGACTGACAAATCTGAAGTCAAGACCGATAAGTCTCAAGTCAAGTCTGAAGACTGAATAAAAGTTATGCCTTAGTTTTAACGATAAGCTTAGATTTAGGATTGGGTTCAGTTTAAGCATTTGGTTGTGATGGTTAGTGTTAGGGGCTAGGGGATGCATAATGTCAAACGAGGGAGCTGTGGTCACATAGTTTGTTGTCTATCATAATGCTATGTTGCTCTGTAATATGAAAAAAAACACAAATTATGTTATGTTTGTTAAGAACCTATTATTTGTGCAGATCCTCAAACAAGCCAGATGTTGTTGCTGCCAACCTGATCAAATCAAACATCATCGTGGATTCAATTCTTCTCGGAAAAGTGGAGAACAATATTCTGCGCGGAATCAGCAATGCAACAGGTACAGTATGAAAACCTCAATGGACAGGTACCCTTAGTATCTTCTATTATCTAATGCGTTTTTCATTTGGACCAGGTTCCATATGTAGAATATTAGCAATTGGCATGTTCCTCAGTATTTGTGTTCTCAGATAACAATGGTTCATACTCAGCATAACTATAATACCAGTGTACCGTCACGTAAAGTGCCTCCAGTGAATAATGTAGCCAGAAGTTTATATTACACTGGTGCCACAGCGTGGAACAGACAAGTCTAGTCTCAGAATATGAAATTGTCTTCTGAAAGTCAGGGTTGTCAGGGCACTGTTTTTTGTTACGAGTTATTTTTATTTTTATTGAATAGTGGTGACATGTTTTTATATACGTTTTTATGTTGAATGTCTTGTGCTTTGTTTTGTTTTCTTTGTCTAACGTCTCGGGATCATGTTCGAAATAAGTGTTTTCAATGTCCCCCCTTATATTTTACTTGACAAGAAACTGCTGGTCAATCATTTCTTCTCCACCATATCAGCCTCGGCAGGTAATTAGATTGATAAAAGCTTGTCCCTCCACTCAAAGATCAAAAGATATATGAGGCTACTGTGTCCATCTCCCTGTCTGTTAATCTAAACTACACACTCTCGTCCCTGTTAATTTGTCCTCTTGCGTTGTTTAATTGTAACGTCCGTTGAAGTGATAACCAGAGACTCAAAAAGAACCATGACTGCACAATGCTCCTACAAGAGAGGATGTCCTTGTATGTTAAAATGCCCGTCATTATGACACATTACTTATTATTTAATATTCATATTATCAGTTATTGTCATAGGTTGATTCAATATTAGCCTTTGACTTGTCATGTTAATGGAGGCTGTGGTTTCACAGTGTGCTTTGTAGGGGTTTAAATATTACATATTTTTTAATTCATCTATATTGCTTTCAGGGGGTTGCTGTTTCAAACCGGAGACGAGCAAAGACGGTCTGAAGCTCTTTGAGATCGAGACCGTTCTCTCTTTGGAGATGAGGAAACCCAAGAAAAAGGCTAACCCGTCTTCCATCTCTACAGTTAGTGCACCAATTATTCTGTTTGAAGTGCTCTGAGAATGAGACACGATCGCAGGAATGAGTTTTAAACAGGTATCAGCCGCACATTGTAATTATGTGCGTGTTCATTTCCACTTGGTATTTTACAGACTTTCTTAACCTTGACCGCTGCTCTTCATGGGTATGATGAGTTTCCAGAGACTGTCTTGCCAAGCCAGCTGAACAGCAAAGTGATAGTGACAGAGAGGTAAGAGACGGAAACATCTCATTCAGGAGGGTTACTACCTTAATTTTGCTTCCTTCAGTGTTTTCAAGGTGGTGAGTACAAAGGTTGTAGGCAGTGTGTTAAGAACTCACGTGCTTTGTATTCAGCTCAGGCGGCAACCTCTGATTCTGAAAAGTGAAGTCAAAGCTTCATGTGTTAAAGCTGCATTCTCTCTAGTGTCCACCAGGGGGCGACTCCTCTGGTTGTATAGAAGTCTATGAGAAAATGACTCTACTTCTCTCTTGATTTATTACCTCAGTAAACATTGTAAACATGAGTTTATGGTCTCAATCTCTAGTTTCAAGTCTTCTTCAATACAGCATGATGTTCATTTAGTACATTATGGTCCATTTAGAGTCAAACAGACCATGAAGCAGGGGATGCTTTAGGGCGGGGCTACACAGTGATTGACAGGTCTTTACCAGAGAGGTATACTGGTCTATGCATCACTCCACCACAGTCCAAATATTGTCACTTCCATTCGCCGGACTCAAGGCTTCAAAACCGCAGTCCACAAACCAACGGGTGACTTATATGGGTTCTTATATACAGTCTATGATTCAGCTGTTTATTTCTCTTTTCAGTAATGTTAACTGAAAAAGTCCCTGAAAGGCTGTAATTCAGCAGAAGGATTTGCTCACGATCTTCGAATACATCTGCCGATTAAATAACCTTAATCAGTCGTCATTAGGAACATAGATTTGAGGTAGTATAGCCCTACTCTATCTCTTAATTGGCTCAGTAAGACGTCATCATCTATTGGTAAGCTCAATCAGTGATCTCTAGAGGCATTAATGTTTATGACTGGAGGAAAGGAGGAAGTCAGGTGACATAGTATAAAGAGCGACAAAGTCTGCGTAGAGAGAAGGTCGGGGTGGATGGACCAAAACTAAAAAAATTGGATTTCATCTTTTCGCCATACTCTGCATTTACACCTAATAACCATGTTTTTAAGAAAACAAGACTTTATGATTTTTTATGAACTTATTTTCTTGATTTGAGGAACATTGAAAATAACGCTATTATTTGCCAGTCCTCTCACACCCAGTTACAAAGCGTTCACCGGGAGAACTAGAAATAAATACACAAAGACATTACATTAATGTGTATTTACAGATGTGTGCAAGTTAAAGAACTTTGATGCTCGGTGGAAATTCTCTAAAGCATTACAGCAGCGTTATTCTAGCAGGTTTATTCACAAGGAGTCAAGCCAAATCTTTAAGAAACAAGTATTCCTTGCTTATTGTACATTACTTCCCAATTAATATGATATAAAGTATTTATTTTACAATCATGGAGTGCATATTTAAATTAAATACTGGTAACAATAAGGTAGTTATGGAAGAACAAGTCCAGAAACCTTAGAAATGAGAGTTATTCATTCTGTATTTTTGACAGAGGCATACAAATAATCTTGCGCTACTAATCTTTCACACTAGTGCTCTGAAAAATAAGATGCGGGACGCCAAAGTTGGTCAGTTGATGGAAAAGGACAAACGCATCCTGGAGGAGTTGAGGAGCCTGCATTGTGACCCACATCCATACTTCAGTATCTTCCCATCAGAATCTGACTTCAGTAAGTGGCATGGATTATATTCTAAATATTGACACTGGATTGTCAATGGATTGATGGATAATCTATCGACATTTTCAGCTCCCAGCAATGCTCAGGAATGTTATAATATTGATCATATTTGAGGTGTTGCATGTTTGTATCACATAGGTCAGCTTTATATCGCTTACAAATCATGAAATTGCTGATTGTGAAAGCTGTTGTTCTTCTTACCAAACCAACACAATCCAGTGATTGACAGGTCTCTACCAGAGACGTATACGGCGTCTCTACGTCACTCCTCCGCTTTCCAAATATGAAAACTTCCATTCATCGGTAGCAAAAAAGCCAAGATGGCGACGTCCGTAATCCAAAATGGCGACATGCAAGTTGGCAAACTCGTGGCAACTTTTCAATCTTATTTCTAAACTTTTCAGCATTCTGGAAGATTCTCATGGAAGGACCTCCTGACACAGCTTATGAGAAAGGAACCTTTGAGTTGTTCTGCCAGTTTGGTTCCGACTACCCAGTGAAGCCTCCACTTGTTCGCTTCGTCACACGAGTATCCTGCCAAATAAATGCACATCTTCACAAGATCAACTAGATTAATGTCAATCAAATCATTGCAGAGGGAATAATAATTCATATCTTCCCACATTCAAGTGATTCGGTTCATATTTAATCATGATTTTGACAGACCAATGAATTATATTTTCTTAATCTCGTTCATTTTGATCCAAGATATAAAAATAATGAAACATTTGTGAGTGAAGCCCATGGAGTGATTCTGTGATGGTGTTTCCAAAAGCATTGCTTCAACGTTATAACATGGCCTGAATTTAAATAATTGCCAATATTTGTACCTTAATTGCAGTGTCATTTTCTTAACAAAAGCAAAGGTGTACCACTGTAATATCAACAGTGTGGGGCGCATCTGCCACAACATATTTGACCGGAACTACAATGCCCAAATCACGATGAGAGACATCCTCAATGCTGTTTATGGATTGCTCATCATCCCAGAGCCTGAAGATCCACTGGACAGGTTGGATTCAAGCCCCCGCACTCTCACAATACACCCATACTGTACATACACATGTGTTTTTAGACATACGTAGGCATTATTACAGGACCGAGGAGGCACTTATTGTCCATGTTTGATCATTTAACCATTGAAAGGGGCTACTGATTCACAGCCACTTTTATAATCCAAGGGTTTTAGCCAGAACCCACCAGGACTTATTACAGAGAACCCTTTTTATATTCCAAAGGTTTTATCTAGAACCCACCCTGGGGGTTCTACTGAGAACCCTTTTTGGATTGTAGGTGTTCCCTTTTAACACCCATGCTTTAAACAATCCTTGAGGAACTCTTTCTCCCAAAAAGCGTTCTTCGGAAGATACGGGTTCGTAATGGAACCTTTAGTCTCACAGAGAGAAAAGGGTTCCTCCGAAGCAGACGGTTCTGGGTCCAGGTTTTAAAAGCACTGATGTGGGCCAAAGTCGTGTCCTTTATGCAGATGAGTTGCATGTACTTTGGTAACTTAAGCATTTGAGTGTGTTTTTCTGTGGAAGCATTCTGGCTGAGGAATTCATGACCAGCCGTGAGACGTACGAACAGGAGGCCAAAAAATATACGGAGGAAACCGCCGCGCAATCACGGGATGATATGGAGAAGGTAAATGAAGTATGGTGTTAAGTCCTACACTATAAAGCAATATAATACATTACCCTTGCAGTATGTAGGCAATATATTACAAGTCAGTGAAAGGCAATATAATACCAATGAATACAGTCTTTGTTTAGACTGTTAGAATGGAGTTGATTCTGTGATTATTTTGCCCACCTCTTTTATATACAGAAAGTGTTTTCTAATAATAGAATCAGTTTAGACGTTATGTTCTAATCTGTATTGTCAGTTATGTTTTGAGGTAAATATATTTTTTCCTGGTTTACGATTTTTTTTAACGTATCACAAATGGGTTTCTAATGAAAGTCTGTAGAAGTCCACATAGGGTTGTGATGGGTTGGGTTGGGTTGAGTCAAACAAACACATGACTTTCACCCAGGAGGCCGCTGTTCATGTACTATGTGAAACCAAATGTCAACATTGACTTATTTAAATTTTAAGTTCGTAACTTAAATATCATAACGAACATTCTCATTCTAAGCCAGCCCATGACTCTTTTACTAAACCTAACCAAGTAGTTTTTATGTGGTTTTGTTTCAATTCACAACGTTAACCATGTGTTTGCAACTGATCTTAATCCAAGAGGAAATACGTTTCCCTCAAAATATAATTGAGGTTGCAGTTTAGTTGTATTGGAACATCATTTTGTAAAAAAAACAGGGTTACCAGATCATGGCTCTGTGATCAGATCAGTGCCTCACAAGCTTCATAAAGGACTGTTGTTATGGGTTGGATATCACCTTTTTAGTGAATGCACTATTGCACTTTTGGTACATTTTTATTTGACATGTTTCTGTCTGTGTTTCTCATCGGAAAGAAATTGGTGAATCCTGAGAAACAGCTTGTGCCCCAACATCTAATCTGTCCACTCACCAACAAGATGTTTGTTGATCCAGTGAGAACAAAATACGGAACGGTGTACGAGCGAAAGGCCATTGAAAAACACCTCAAAACGTAAGTCTATATTACCCAGATAAACAAAACCCACAAGAAGAAAGTACCAATGAAATATGTGACACGGCTGCAGGCCAGAATGTGCTGTTTCTGTCCAGAGCTTTTTGCTATCTCGGACTTCAAGGTTCAAATCTGTCCCGCTTCCTTGTATTCTCTAATAACTATAAACTCTTTCACAGAAACAAAAATGATCCAAAGGGTGACCCCGCAGGATTGCTCACTGAAGCGGATCTTAAATCAGCCAAAGAAATGAAGAAAATGGTGATGGAGCACCGTTCCAGACAAATTCAGGAAAAGTTGTAGAAAATAGTTGGATGAAGTAAATCCAGTGTCTCCTGGAAAATACGGAAAGTTCATGTTCATCACATCGTATGACCTCATGTCTGTATTAAGAAATGTACATGCAATCTTTTAAAGTACTTTACTATTATTACTACATACCGTGAGTTTCAAACAAGAATGGGATAGTTATGGAAAATATTCTACGAACTTGAACTTTGAATGCCTGAAGTAGAACGTAATTTGGACAATTGCACTAAATATGAATGGACTGCAAGACAGTGTACTTCCCCCAAATAAGCTGCACAACGTCCGATCAAATGAACTATTTGTATTCTTAAAGTACAATCCATCCTAAAATAGCATTTAATGTACATTTAATATTGTATACCTTATTCCTAATTACTATACGTTCAAGTTCAGAAAAGAGATGCTGTAATATGCTTTCACTGTCAAATTCAATAACACAATGCCATAATTTAAATATAATGTGCCCATCATTTAAGAAAACCATAAGCGCATAATGTAATGAGCTTTGCACTGAATGTAGTTATTACACCATGAGAGAAAAATTACATTATAATCTAACTAAAAAAATGTAATAAATTCTGCACTTAGTGTAATAATTTGCAATTGACAAAAAAGGCTTTTCCTTTTTTTGTATGTGAACCCTTCTCACGCTACACTAAATACATGAAGAGAGGCATGTTTACTTTGCTCCATTGTAAAACCAGAAACACGACGCAAACAACCTGAATGCAAGAACATTCATAACAACTCTTAAACTCGAGCTTAGCGACTATTGTACAACTGAAGGGACATTTATTTGGGACTATTCAAAGGATATTTGTCGAATCACAACACGTGCCTTCATTCTTTGGGTTTTCTGCACCAGGCAGCTTATTGGCCAATAAGCCGATGAATGGTCCCTTCAGTTGTACAATATTCACCAAGTTGTTGTGTTTCTGTGTGTTCTTGCATTCAGGTTGTTGTGTTGCGTCTCTGGTTGTAAAATATTACAGAATAAACATCGGTTAATAGTAAATCTACCTCTTGCAGAAAAATGCTACTTTTTTTTGCAAATTATGACACTTTGTGCTGAATTTCTTACATTATTCAAACATTTTAGTTAAGTTTATAATATTATAATTTCCTCATAGTGTAATAACTAAATTATGCAGAAAACTGTTAATATATTATGAGCTTTTCTTAAGTTTAAATACATACACAACTATTACATTATGAGTTACAAGCCTTACAATTAAATCAAATTCCTTTTCAAGTTATGTCTCAAGCACAAACTCTCCATCTTTACTTTCTGTTGATTGATCTCTTGAGTTTTTCTGATGTCGTCTGAAAACAATGAGCTTTATTGATAAGCAGCCACATTTGCATATTACTTCCACTGTTTATGGGATATAAATGTGTTCTTTTTTTTGTGAAATAAAAGTAGATGAGAAAAGTTTAAATCACTTGTTTTATTTTAAGAAGGAAAGGTCTGCAGCGTGGCAGATAGAGCTGTTATCAGTGCGGAGCAGTTCAAGGTTTTGGTAAATTGACTTTTAGGAACCAGAGATGTGTTTAAGGTCAAAGATCTTATCATTTAATGAGGGAGGAAATGTTGGGTACAATTTAAAATAAATATAAAATAAAAAAATAAAAAAAAAATACATAAATTTAAAAATTAAAAAAAATAAAAAATAATAAAAAATGTCACATGTATTGATGTTTTTTTTTCTTTTAAAATAAGTAACAAACAATGATCTCAGTTTCAGCATTGTAGCCTCTTCCGGTGTTTCACAGCTTACAGATCTCTTCCTCGATTTTGAAATTGAATAAAAGTGAGTAAATCAAAAGGTTGCATAATAATAGCAAAAAAGAATTTTAGTGCTTCTCAAGAACAGATAAAGTTCTTCATAGTGCAGCGAAAACACTTTAAACAGAGCAAAAAAGTTACAACGTCAGCTAATATGGAACTAAAGGCATACATCGATATTATTACACATCACAACTTTTCTTTTTTTTTTTAAGTGCCACATGAAAATATGTTTCTTGAAAGAGGCATTATAGGAGATCTCAGTTGCCTCTAAATGGCTAGGCCTGGTCGGCGGCTAATCCGGCTTATTGCCAAGTTCATGTACAAAGACTTTAAATGACTCCCCCCACCTGTGTTGAGGGAGTGGAGGATCATTTTTAGTTTAATTCATTGTTGGTTCTGTCGCCCCCTGTGGACTAAAGTGGTAGTGTTTCTGAGCACCAGAGTCCCTTTAGAAAACCTCTCATGTTACTGCAGCAGGGTCTGACAGTCTGCCCCTCTCAGTCCTGGTCCTGGTTCTACCGTGCCTCCCTTCCCTCCAGTGGGTCCAGCAACACATCCTGGAGCAACAGCTGCATAAATGCCCTGCAAAAATTCAAAGAAAACCGTCATTGGCAGACATCAGTCCTATTTTAAAATGTATTCTTAAACTTTGAATCTGGGCAGATTTCCGGTCCATCTGTGGAGTACATCATTTGCCCAACCACATTCCTCTGTCTCATTCGAAATGTATCATTTACAGGACATATAAAGTGAGAGCAAATGGTGAATATGCAGATGAATTATTCCGTGATGCAGGAGGTGTTGTGTTTGCTGACCGCACCAGTCAGTTATTGGTTGAAGTCAGAGAATTCATTGAAACACAGGCTTATCTATCCCCCGTTGTTTTTTCTTCTACCCTCTGTTTAAACTTCATTAGCCCATCGAAAAATAGCAGAAATTAAAAAGAAAACTACATATATATGAATATATATTTCAGAGTAAAGCACAGCGCCGCAGAGAGAGAGAGCTGCAAGCCTCAAACGGTTGTTTCTCTGCCTCCGTCTGCAGAGAATCGTTCGTCAATTCAAAACACACTTCGTGCTTCAGAAGTTCTCCGTTCTTCAGTGGACGCTCTGATTGATAAATGTATTCTTTACATTGTTAATCAGCAGCCTTTCTGAGGCCTCGGTCACTTCATCCAACGTGGTGCAGAGAGTCTCTTTCACAGGACGGTTAACGGGTTTAGGATCAATAATAAAAAAGTTGAGTAATATATGACTTACTCTTGAAGCATTTACAGATGATGACGGAGGTGACGACGGTGGTGACGATGATGCAGCCGGTGGTACAACAGAAGGTGCCTGGATCACTACCTGAAGGAATGTCGGAGAGATGTTCATGTTAGTGCTTTACTGCAGACTTGTAACACAATACCAATCTGTTCATCCATCCACGATCTCTTCCAGCTGTTCAGGGCTGCAGGGCGAAGAAAATGCTGACAGCAGACCTGTCCATGTCTGTGATTGGTCACAGCGCTGTAAACTCCGCCCCTTTAAGTGAACGCACGCGCAGCCAGATGGAGAAAACAGAGGTTGATAACCGGCTCCATAGGACCTTTAAAAGGTTCACGTTTGTTGGTGTTAGTGGAGCCGGATAACCGAAAAGACACCGAGGGTACGATGGAGGAGCGAGTTACTTTTAGTCTTTCACTTACTTTGCTTCTTTGTGACTGAATTCTTGTCACCATCTTTTTGATTGGATAGTGTGTCGGGGTCTTGTTCACGAACTGTGAAGAAATGAAAGATGACAATCACGCATTAATCACATCCAGACGCATTTTTAAGTATTTAAGTATTTTCTTTTATATAGTAAAAGTGTGCCTGTGTTTTTATCGTGTCGTTGCAGGTGGTCTTTATTTATTTTATTATTTTAATGTTTATTCGTCTAAACATCCCAAAACCACACACAGATACAAACACTAGGCCTGCCACACAGCAAAACAATACAAATAAAAACAAGAATACAGCAGCAAAAAAAGAATGAAATGAAATTAATAATAATAAAAATAATTTAAAAAGAAAATACATTAATCACTTAACTTTAAGGCAGCTACAAGAGCCCTCTTTGTGTACTTACCAGTGAGGTTTGTAGAACAGTTGATTTTCTTGACGTCAACAATTTCAACAGTGCAGTCATATGTTCCAGGATAATGTAATGTCAAATTAAGGGACAAGTTCCCTGAACACGTTTTTTCATGCAAAAGATCTGCCTTTCCTTTGAACCTCTGGTCCTGATTTTGTAATTGTTCTTTTCCCCGATGGACCAAAAACACCTCTACAGGTGTCTTACTAACTGCATCCCAATACAAACACTCCACAGTCAGGTATTTGCAGACATCTATTTGGGACTTTATTAGAAACCGTATCACGATCTCTCCAGGGTGTGCTTCCATTGCTGGAGGGCATTGCAGCTCAATTCCTATTAAAGAAACACAAAATATATTTGACATTAAGCCTTTGAGTCATTGAGTCTGCATGATTTTGAAAATGCTTTTTTTTTATTCCATCCAAAAGGTCTTTGTGTTTGAGAACGCAGTGCTGTAGTTATTGTAGCTATCATTTAATAATCGGTCACTGAATATGAAGCAGGTCCTTTTAATATGAAAAGTCATCCCTCACCTCAGACATAATGCAAAATCCAATAACTGCTTTAAAAAAAACAGGTTTAAAAATGAATTTAAAAAAATGTTTGGATGTAGATCTGTGTGAACTGCACAGTATTCACAGAGTTAAATAGTAATTTGGCTGATAATATAATCACCTTTTCTGCCTTCATATATTTACACACTATACTATTACTGATTACAAAACCCACACCTTCCTGTGTTGTGTTTCATATTTCTAACTGTGTAGTATCAGTGTGGACGCAGCTCATGATGTTTAAGACACCTTCCTGTTCTCTCTTGTCTGGTTCATAACATCATGGTGAGGCGCTGTGTGGATTTCACAGATCTGTATTCACTGTGTATCTAACAAGACACGTTGGCTGTTTACTACATCTGTATCAACGCAACATAAACTGATTTTACTTTAATTTAACTGCAATAAACATAAAAAGGATGCAGAAATATACGTAATGATGCCGATTTGTAAAAAGTTTGAATTCATGTTTTGTTAGTTCTCTCTGCAAGACGACGAGTAAATCACTTTTAAAATGCTTGTTTTCTGAATGGAGTCTGGATCTATTGGTGCTATGCTAAGCTAACATTGTAGCTGCTCCATCAACACTCAAAATAACGTCATCTAGGCCCAAATGTAGCAGCTTTGTTTTCATTGTTTGTACCATATGCTTGATACACATACATTATATACACGTACATTAATACACGTACATTATATACAC